CCAAGATCATGCATTGGCAAGAACTTTGCTCAGTTTGAGTCTAAGATCATCATGGCTCGTCTTTATCAGGAGTTTGAGTTTGAATTGGTATCAGACAAACCATTGTGCTATGAAGAAGCAATTACAGTAAGACCAAAAGATGGTGTATGGTGTAGGGTGAAGAGAAGGAAGTGATTCTTCTTGAGTGTCTAAATATGAACACAATACATTGTGCAGCCTCTGGCAAAGGAAGTRCAAGCTTATGTTAATACATGTTAATACTATATGATAAACATAAATGTAATTTAAACTAAAATAATAATTTATTCAGGAAGAAAACAAGACAAAATCCCAAAATATTAGTTATCGCTTCATTTCATTTTACTATCTAAACTAAATTGTGGTCTAAATTGTTCAGAACCTTCAAGTACTAGACAAAAGTCATATCACTAAGAGTTGATTAATGATTCCTTAGCTTTAGTTAAATCTATAATAATAATAATAAATCGTTTATTTGCCACATTGCAGAATTAACTATCTATCTATGTTGTCTGTGCCAAGTGAGTCTACTTCATACTTAGGGAATGGGTACATAAATTAGATATCTTCTAATGCAGGGAAGTATCCAGGGGAGGGTCACAGGGTGTCTGTGCCCCCCCCCCCCCTTTCAAAGCCAAAAAAGCGAGAAAACCATGATTAATATAACATTATATTGACGTCATATGATATCACAGTGACATTATTTGGTATGTAAGGACTCCCCTAATGAAAATCCTGGATATGCTCCTGTATTGTTTTTTCAATTTTTTACCCAGTCCCTAAATTCAAACATCAATGTTAGATGCCGATTGTGCAGAAATCATCCAGCGTTGTACAAATGGCACCAGTATGCCTCCAAGAAGAATCTGGGTAGGGTGGTAAATAAGAAGTGGAATTGAAATAAGAGAAAGATACTTATAACCTTGGAAAACTATCTTCARCATAGGAATCCCAAGAGTTAGTGACTTGTGTGTAGCACAGAACATTATAGCAACAGTATCAGCCGCCTTGTAAGGTGACCCCTCCAATGAAGTCAACCAGAATGTCAAAAAAAGGAGAAAAGACTGCAACAGGAAAATAATGATGACAACTTTGAGTAAACTACTTTTGTTAATCTCTCCAACATCACTGGAAAACGTATCACAAAATGTTGTATAGATGATAAGAAGAAGGACGCAGCTTCCTATTGTCCCAAATGGCGGTTTGGTTGTCTCCATCCACTTCCTGACACCATCATTGTACCTGAAAACTTGACCAAGTAAGATTGGCACTACCACTGTTAATGAAAGTGTTATGAARATCGAAGAGTACGGGACAGAAGACGACGATCCTACMAGGATTAGCAGGAGTAATGGAGTTACAAAGATACCAAGGAAGCTACCAAACGCTGAGTTAAAGATWGCAGCAGCTTCATTACCGCCAACCGCCTTGGTTAAAATGACAGCTGAGGACACMGGTGGGGGCATACAACTGACGACAAGAAGTCCTTTRAGAAGCCATTCATTGATCGATGTGTTGGACAAAATCTTTACTAATTGAGACATCAGAAAGGGTACAAAAAYCAGCGTGAATGACTGAACAAAAGCGTGAAGTTGGACTTGAGTAATGGCATTTTTTAGATCTTCAGTTCTGAGTGAAAGACCACTGTTGAAGAAGATGATGGACACAGCGCCATATTTGACAGTGAACTCGGGCTTTAAAATCCCTCCTTTTGCCCCAATATACGGTGCAAACTTAGCTAAAGAAATCACCACTACAATCCCAATGAGAAACCAGTTCTTACGTATCGCGGAAAGCATGCTGAAGTTATATCAACATCTAAAGATTTACAATAAAACCACCGTGTTTTCCACCTGAGCGAGTGCTGCCACGTTTATGGCAACACAGGAAGCCCGCGTAAAGGAATACTAAAAAAACACATTACTGCAATCTGAATTGATAAAAAATGGAAAAACGGGGAAAATGTGAATAGTATTTCGTATTCTCATTAAAGCACTCCGAATTACAAATATATATATTTTCCMATAAATCGAAATTTTAATAGGACTATAGTAGGCATGGCAAGAAAATCGAACCTAATAGCATGTGTCAAATTAATTGATCTATAATGAGCCCGAATGTCTGTAAATTGCTTTTGCTTCTCATGTTTCCAAATCTTCTRAGAAAAACTCAAAAATTTGCATGTAATTCGGATAATCTATTTGATCATATCCACGTCTGTCGATCCCATAATGCTAAGTGCGCTCCGTTTCAATATGGCGGCAATGGGGCATCGAGCGTTCTTGCTACTATTTGCGATGTTCTCTTGTGTTTTACTTACATCTGGCGCTTCTTACAAGGATAATGAACGGGTAACTAGTTGGAATTCATTTTATGTCARTCTTAATCCGATAACAGTCTTTACAAATGGCCTTGTTCTCTATGTTTGTCAGGTCGCGATGTTTGTCAATAAAGTGGGACCTTATTTCAATCCCCAAGAGACTTACCACTACTACTCATTGCCRGTTTGCAGACCAGACAAGGTAAAATGTGCCATCACTCTTTGTATTTTCGTATAGGATAGATTACCTGCGACTGAAACCGTGTTTTCAGAAAGTTTCCGTTAGAGTCTGGTTTCAATTCGTTGTTTCAGGTCGAACACCGCAGCCTAACGCTTGGGGAAGTTCTTAAAGGTGACCGGATGGCCGTGGCCATGTATGAAATTCGATTTAAAGGTGTGKTTTYGTATATCAAGTATCTGAAATTATCGTTATGAATGTTACAAGTCACAAGACTTGTTGGGTTGTTGATGTGGACTTGTTGGTTGCCAGGCACTATTGGTTGCTAGAAGTATTCATTAAGCCCTCATTATATTTACCAAAACTGGGGTAAATTGGTTTTGTGTATCATTTTGTTTTTGCTTAGAGAACATTGAAAAACGACTGCTGTGTGATGTCTCTTTGAACCGAGAAGACCTGGATATGATTCGTTCAGCCATTGAAGATCTTTACTACTTTGAATTTGTTTTTGGTAGGTAATTCATATGTTTGCCATCACTATTATGATCCAGTAGGTACAAGATAAGAGCCAGTCGACAGATTTAAAAATGTAAATTTGACAGTACTTGTAAGTCTCTATGTCAACCATCCTTTTGTAAAGATACATGTATATGGATTGGTCAAACTTTTTCTTCTCTTATGAATCTTGTTGTGGGATTTATCAATCACATTTAATTATTATCAAAGGCATTATTTTTTCTCCCTGAGCTSAGATAGTGAATTTTTCTTTGTTTCTTTWCAGATGATCTCCCCATWCGTGGGTTCATTGGTCACCTTGAAGAAGGACAGATTTTGCCACATCGTCACAAGATCTATTTATGGACCCACTTGCATTTTAATATTTTATACAATGGTGATCAGGTATATAATAATATCATTTACATGCATGTGAAAGCCCAGATAAGACTAATATCATAAGATAGAGTGCATATCTTGTGTTACATGCTAATATGTTAGTGTGGTATGACCGCCTGGGTATAAGAAGTCAAAAGATTGTTATAGTTAGTGATGATTGGTATAGTTAGTGAGAATATTAACTATTAATTATAGAATATTAACTATTAATTATAGAATATTAACTATTAATTATAGAATATTAACTATTAATTATAGAATATTAACTCTGAAGATGACTTCCATGCAGGATGTCAAAACGTCTTCCTCAAGACTTCTCACACCTTGACAATCATATCACACCTATACTTCTTACACCTGGGCTCAGATCATTCACTCTAACATTCTAATATATTCCCTATATCAGGTCATATCTGCTAATGTTACAACCAGCGGCAATGAACCTGTCAGTCTTGATGATGTTGAAGTGCCTTTCAAGGTCCAACATACATACAGTGTGTCGTGGAAGTCAACAAGGTACAATATTCCACTATACATTATATGGTATAACTGCATTGATTTAAACCATACATACCTGGTGGAATTTTGAGAATACTATATGTACATATTCCAAAGCGGGAAATCCTTTTGATCAATGTCACTAGATAAAGTGTTTATCCAGGTACTGGACGTGAATGCTATAGCCTGAAAAAGAAAAAAAATTCTTTGAAAAATGCTTAAAAAATATGTGAATCCATTACTAAGTAGATGTAAAAATGTAACAAATTCAGTRCAATGTATTTGAAATTTAGTACGTGTTTTTTCATGCACTTGACATTACTGTAGACATATTTTTCATYTTATTATAGTTTTAAGTACTCGCAGAGAAACAAGCTTCATGGAGGACGATTTTTCCAAAAAAATTTAGAGGTAARTGGCACTGTTGATATCCCTAGCTGGCATGATGAGCATATTATAATTATTGATATTTTAATTATATAAATGGAGTTTCAGTGTTGTTGGATTTTCCCCTAGATCCACTGGCTGTCAATCATCAACTCTGTGGTTCTTGTCTTTCTRCTTCTTGGATTCATCATTATTATCATGGTAGGACAATATTAATACATACTATTCATTGGAAATTTCACTAATTATTTGATCAATACTATTAAACCTTTTGAAACTAGATGAGGATTCTCAGGAACGATTTTGCTAAGTATAACTTGCGTGATGATGAAGAAATTGAAGACTTAGGTTTGTATTRTAACAAGTTTTAACTAAAAGTATATTTTTCAGTTGTTTTATCATGTTGGATCTGAATTAAAAGCAAACAACTTAAAGGGACACTGTCAATGGCACGCATGCGCGAGTAAACTTGAAACGATTAGGCTAATGTTTTCAAGTTTACAACTCCAAGTTGSCGCGATGCATAACAAAAAAAGTACTCGTAAACGTAAACAGATCTAGAATATTCCAAAGTGTGTCAAAACATTGATTTACCTCGAAGGTAATACTTTCAAAGTCCGTTAGAGGCTAGACTGTTACTGCGCATGTCATCCATTGATAGTGTCCCTTTAAAGTATGTTTCTTTCTTCTCAGATTCAGATGATTGTGGATGGAAGATTATCCATACAGATGTGTTTAGATTTCCACCTTACAAAGGCACTCTTTGTGCAATTCTTGGTAAGTTCAGATGAATGTTTTGTGTTTTTCACAAGTTTTAATGATTCCATATTTTACATGTCCTAATAGTTTGATATATTTCTTTTTCATTCTTTTAGGTGTGGGTTCACAATTTCTTGCTCTCTGCTTTGGAATTATTTTCATGGCAATTTTTGGAATGTTCAATGTTCACAGGTTATTAAAATTGTCCATTCTGTAACTCTCTTTAAAATAAAATATCAGTCTTTSTRAATTGGTGTAATTTCTTGTAGACAYGGATCAATGAACACTGCTGCTGTGCTGTTGTATGCTCTCACTTGTTGTAAGTATTATAGTATTATTAGATCAATATTCTTTTTGAATCCTTCTGTTTTTGCCATAAGCATWACTTGAYRTCTRTTTTCTGTAGGTATTTCTGGGTTTGTGGCAAGTTCGTTCTACAGGAAAATCGGTGGTACAAAATGGGTCTGGATCATCATACTAACTGCAAGCTTATTCTCAGGTACTCTCACAAAATACAGTTCATTGATAAAATACATGTATTCAATGATAGTTTAACCTTTTCTGTTGGTGTTCATATGAATCCTTAAGTTCAGAAACCAAAATTTAGAAATTCATAGATTTCATAGAATTCTAATAGACAAGGTGGAACAAAGACCACTAGAGCGGATTTCGTATGACTGTGCAACGGCACAGATCACRACACGGACATGGCACAGTCACAGAATCTCACCTTCTAGGATTCCAAAGAAAAATATAGACTTAATAATACATCACCACTACGGCACGGTACGGTACCAGCACAAAAGTACCGTGATTTTTGATACGAAATCTGCTCTAAAAGAAATGTTATGGTCAAGTGGCTACCAAGTTGCCAAATAACTTTCACTCAAATACTATTTTGTTCTGTTAGGTTTATTTTTTCAAGTAATGATAATACTGCTTTTGTCTTTATTTTTGACAGTTCCTTTCTTTTTAATCTGGAGTCTTGCAAATTCAATTGCGTGGAGTTATCATTCAACCCAAGCTCTTCCCTACACTACTATAATACTGCTGATGTTAATATGGATTATAGGTAATTTAACCCCAATATAGCCTGCATTGCATCTGGAAATTTTTAAAATACCGGATGTATGTGTGAWTTTTCCCATTCTATTTCAGACATAGCTTCTCATTTATTTTCCTCTGTATTCTTTCATTTGCAAGCCATTTAATATTCAATTGTTTTCTTTTAGTTGGTTTTCCACTAACAGTAATTGGGGGAATCTTTGGGAAGAATTGGGCCACTAGTTTTGATGCTCCTTGTAGAACAAAGAATATCCCTCGTGAAATCCCTCCTGTTGTCTGGTAAGAATTTATTGTAATCCCACTTTKTGAACATGAAAGTAATGTTGAAGTCCAATCAAGTAYRGCATTGTATGTGTGATAATAATTATTCTGTTCTTTAGGTATCGTCAGCCGTTAACTCACATGGCAGTTGGAGGATTTCTTCCATTCAGGTAACTTCTTATACAGAGYTATTCCCCAAAATAATATTTTTGATATCATGATCTCAAACCTTTTCACAGTCAAACAACAYATCTCAATATGGCTGTGTGCATCGGGAACTTCAGGATAAATGRTTTCATTAGTAAAGAGAGAAATGAAGTAAAATGATTAATATTGTTGTATTTACTCTCATGAAYATTGCCCTGATGTAGCCTTCCCTATCAAGTTATGTTGTCAAATTGTTAAAATTATGATAGATAAACAACAATTACAGTAATAGATTAGGGGTAATGACGATTTAGTTTATGATAATGATAACATTTGATGGTGATTGTAAGGTTCAAAATGGTTGCTTGTTTTCATTTCAGTGCAATCTCTGTTGAGCTRTACTACATCTTCACAACACTGTGGGGTCGYGARCAGTACACTCTTTAYGGCATCTTGCTGATAGTGTTCATCATACTGCTCAGTGTGACAGCATGTATTTCTATTGCTTTGACATACTTTCAATTGTCTGCTGAGGACTACCGTTGGTGGTGGAGGTCTATTTTTAGTGCAGGGTAAGTCACTGTCACACAATCTTTGCTTTACAATGGTTTCACACAAATCTTCACTTTCATGTCACACAATCATCAAAGGGCTGTCACAATCAWTGCATTGCTGGTCACATATTTAAGGTRTCACRCCATCTTAACAATGGCAATGTTATTACATATCTTTATGCTTGTAATCATTTCATTTTTCCCTTCCACACAATCGTTGCATTGCTGGTCATATATTGAATKTGTCACGCCATCTTAAAATGTTCCATATCTTTATGTCATGCAAGCTTGTAATCATGATTTTTCCTTTCCATAGGTCATGTGGCTTCTTTGTATTTGGTTATGCTATTTTCTACTACTTCAAGCGATCTAACATGTCAGGATTTCTGCAGACATTTCAATTTTTTGGTTACACTATTCTTGCTTGCTATGTTTTCTTTCTTATGCTAGGCACCGTGTCTTTTTTTGCTTCATTGAGGTTTATAAGATATATCTACATTAACTTAAAAATGGACTAATAACACACACTAAGATATAATAACTATAATAATCATCATAGCTTTTAAGATGCCAAAATCCACATTTGAAATCTCCTATCAGTTGCCAAAATACTGTAGATGTATTTTTAACATTGTTTAAATAGGAAATTGTAGTGTACCTTTGAAGAGAATTAGTCTTAAAGTGTCATTTGGTATCTGTGTGGATGGAACCTTTCAATTGCATGCATGTAGCCTCTGAAATGTCCATTTCCTAGCTACTGTATTAGCATGAATAAGCACTTATGTGTATTAACTAACAATAGTATTTATTTTAAGTAGAATGAAATAGAACAAAACACCAACTTGAAGCTATAATAACTCTGTTTTAATGGACGTTTCGGCACTTCGGCCTTCTGTATACAATTTTCTGTTGTTTATGTCTCGGTTTTTGTTTCAAGGGTTTATAGCTTGCTCTGCATTCAACTGTTGAGGCTCCTCAGATTTTCCTACTTGGGCTTCCTTTGCAACAAGGTCTCTGCTTTCCAGGGCCATTCTACTCATCTTTTACACAGGTAACCCAMGAACAGAGAGAATCACAGTTATGCAGAGGAGGCGTATTTTGTAATAGACAGTGTTTAGAATACATAAAAGTGTAGTGYTTCACAGAGAATATCAAAAATAACTTAAATAAATATGAGGTAGAGTGTTGCAATGTAAAATTAAAGTCTATTGATATTTGAATACTATATATATGAATACTAACAGTGTAACAATACATCTGTCCTAATATCAGAAAACTACTGTTTGTAGAGTTTAGTAAAAGTATGTATCAAAAAGATGGGGTCATTGTTCAAACAAGGAATGATTTTTTTCAACTATGGTTAAAGATGTCAGATTTTGATAAGGACATCTCGTTATCTGTGTTCCAGTTCTTATAGAAATTATAATATTTGTTACCTGCAAAGTGTAGTATCCTTGGCAACCATTATTAGTTCAATAATTGATGTTGTGACTTGGTTGTGGCTGCCCCAATGTTAGAAGTGACAACTCACAGCAATTATGTTCAGTATGAACTGTTTATACCACTAACATGACCTCCATGCCATCCAGCCTGGGAATGATTGAAAACTATTATTAACAGTTGCGAAGGAAAAAGGACTTGTCAGTGAAATTACATAACAGCGTTTATACTGACTTTGGAACCAYTTTCTAAATAAGTTAACTTTCATCCACACAGTGTTCAATTTATAGAATAAAGTTGGTCTGGGTGGGAAAAATAGATAACCCTTCCTAGACACACCTTCTATAATGCAATAAAATTGTGGTCTTCCTGTGTTAAGTTACACTGGGACCCAGTCTTCAATTTTTTTCTCGTCGAAGATGGAGGCTGTTCGATGGCCAAAGTTAGTTCTTTTTGGAGATTCGCACACACAGGTAAACAGACTATTGATATACTAACAAGCTTATATAASYTTAAAGTAAGTGTTATTATGAACGACAGAATTCCTTTTGTGACGGAGGTTGGGCGACRTACGTRGCTGACATTTTCAAAAGGTAGTTCATCTTATAAAAGTTTRTTCCACTTTTTAATCAATTCACCCATTAATTCATTTATCACTCTCTGGGTTTATAAGTGAAATATACTAGTAGYTTCTGTTGAAAGTTACTTAAGTGCAGCCAAGTCTGAAATATGTTGAGCTGAAACTGGAACAGTTTTAGAAAGTCCAATATCAATCGAATTCGTAGTGATCAAAGTACGAAAAAATCTCGTGTTTGTTGGGTATCAATTACTTGCTTGGGGGTAGTCCCTGATCCAGCTTCGTTTGCAAACAGCGAGATAAGACACTGGGYACAAGATGAATCAATCATTGCTGATGACGGCACAAATCGAAGCTTGATCACAATATAATCCTGAGACACAGGGATCCCGCTACGTGCTGATTAGTATGCTGATACTATATTATAATCTATTCCTACATTACTAGGCGCTGTGATGTTCTAAACAGAGGCTTCAGTGGTTACACGGCAGCAGTAAATAAACTAATTTTACCAAACTTACTGAAAAATGACTTGACTCCAAGTGATGCAATTGCAGCTGTAGTWATTCTGCTTGGATCAAATGACTCTGTTCTRCCTGGAATAGACAGCCGTCACACTACATTAGAAAAATATGCTAGTGATTTAACAGATATTATTGAACAGTTTATTAAAAATGGCTTGCAACCAAGTCAAATTGTACTTTTGACTCCTCCCCCWGTGGTAGAGGCTAAGTGGGATAAAGAGAGAGTTGCATTAGGTATGTAGAGCACAGAGAAGATCATTGTCAATCAAATGACATCATTACTCATTATTATTGCTATTGACAACTGAATGTTAACCTGAGAATCATTTGAGGGGTGCCTGGGGAGTGGAGGAGGAGTAAGGGTGCCTGGGGAGTGGAGGAGGAGTAAAACAAAGGCTCTCCATCTTTTTCCTCCTTGTTTTTTTTTATATTTTCTCCAGAAAGCATGATACTCAGGTTGACATAATGTCAAAGTGCAAACAACATGCTTGTGAAATCACTACATTTATAATAGTGTTAATTAGACAAAAGAAAACAAAGGTATTTTCTAGTATAATTTAATACTATTTTGTCAACTGCAGGTATAGAGTGATCGCACTTAAACCCTGCAACTGTACAAAATCCAAGTAGTACTAATATGTACTAAAAGTGGAGCTGAAGCAAGACAGTATTGAACACTTCATTTGCACCAATTCAATTTAATTTGCTTACCACATGCACGATTTGCTAAATACAACTAAATAGAACTATTTAGTTTGTACAGTTGCACGGATTAAGTGCGATCACTCTATTGTTTTAGCTCTAATATAATAGTGCAGTTATCTCTAGATATTGTAAATTGACTATCAAAACTATGTTCTCTTTGTAAAGGAATAACAGGTGGCAATAACCTCTCCAATGAGAGAGTTGGTATGTTTGCTAAAGAGTGTTCMTCAGTTGGTGTCAAATTGGGGGTTGATGTTGTTGATATCAACACGGACATGCAGAAAGAGCAGGTAAAATAGAAAATAGATTTGAAGCCCTGCAAGGACTGTATATCTCATATCCATGTCTGCATTTAAAATCTGCCTATGTCGCAATTTTGTGCCTGTCTGTACTTTATCAGAGCATAGTTACTATATTACTATAACTATGATCAGAGAAGCTGTTTGTTTGTTGCAAGTTTTTGACTCTTGTGTCACTGTTTCAAGGCAGTGTTGCTTGTTTGAATTTACCACTAACAGGGCCTCAGACTTTCTATTTCACTAATCATTACATAGTATATTTTATCATATAATGATCTATAAAATACCTATATTTCTCTCTTTTGAAAGTTGACATTCAAATCTTCTCTATATATTGAAATTAAAAAAAAGTATTTTACGGCATAATTTGCTTTGATTTTTTTTTTTAATTCAACTCTAAAACTTTTGATTTGTCATCACAGGACTGGTCAAGATTTCTTCAAGATGGCCTTCATTTCTCAAGAGAAGGAAATGAGTTTGTCGCAAGGCAACTAATACCAGTATTACAATCAAAACTACCATCTTTGCCAATGATATTTCCTGATTGGAAGGACATTGATTTTAAAAATCYCAAAACTAGTCTAGAAAAATACTTATAACTCAAAGTGTTATAAAATAATAAAATAAATTGATAAATAAATAGTTCCAAAGTGGTGTGTTGTCTTGGTTTGTTTGCAATGAAATTTTGACATGAATACACAAACAAAGAAATGTATGAAAAGTAAAGAAAATACATGAATGGATAACAATGAATGGATGAGCATATAACTGTATGAATAAAACGCTATGATTCCCAGTAACAGCAGCGGGGAAAAGCCCGTAAGCTAAATTCACCCAAAGGGGAGAAAAGGAAGGGCATTGCAAAATGAGCATTTTCTGAAACGTTAATTTATTTGTTTATTTTGAAAATTAAAAGTTTGAATGAGTGTGGGATTTTTCCAAAATATTTATCTTGGAATGGGATTTTGGCAAAAAAATAGACTGGGAAATGGGATCAGACACCCCCCCTTCAGGGCCCTCTTTGAATCAGGTTAATTTTAGCCAGTTCGAATTTCTTTGAAATTAAGGAAGGCTAATGCTTATAATATTAAAGTAACAATAGAATGTGAAAAAACTTGCAAACTTTTCTCGGAAGCAGCCACACCAAACATAAATTCAACCTCGCATTTGCATACAATCAGAGGTCATAATAAACCAATCAGAGTTCATGTTRTAAGTGGGTAAACCAATCACAAATTGCGTAATATCACCATGAAGGTGTACATGCTCCACGTCCTCATGCTCGTTTCAAGGTTTCTATTAGCGAGGTGTGTTGTCGTTGGRAGGCAGATTTTTGTCCGTAAAGYCAATTCCATATCTATCATCTTAAATCGTAATTTTACAAATTCAACCATGGCTTACTCAGTTAAAGAAAGCGGAGCTCCAAACTCYCTGGACTATCGAATGTACTTTCGTAAGTTTTCGTGATTTTGATGTTACATTTCTTATTGAAGATCTTGCAGTATTTAAGCTTAGTGTTTGAAAAGTCTGTAGCTTAGAGAGTTGCAGAGAGTTCGTTAAAGAATYAGAGAGATAACAGAGAGATAGATCGAAGTGGCGAGAAAGAGGAAATATATAGTGAGGGCAAAGTACAGTGCTTTTGACCTTTGTAGGTTTGAAAAACGTGCTTCAAAAGAAGATGCAAGGCTTCATCTGTTTAGAAATATCACGCTTTTCAGTGCACTTCAAATTGATCGATATTTGTCCCAAAACCATATAAATATTGAGGTTGGAATGTTAAAGGTCTACCTTTGTAAATCTGGAATTTCCATATTCCCAGTGGAACTCTGGCATTCCTACGAAAGAAACTGTTATCCTGGTTATGTCTATTATCATATCTCCGTTATCTATGAGTATTATTAATCTGTTATTGATCATTATCGTGAAAACATGGATAATATCCTGTGATCAATGTAAAAAATATCATATAGGTAAAAATAAGAGGAAATATCAATATTTTTTTATTTCTAATTTGAAAACCCTTGTATGTCAGATAATACTGATGGACATGCAATCTCTCCATTCCATGATATTCCACTTTTTGCCAACAAAGAGGTAAGAATGATTGTTTACAATTAAAGCAAKTGAAAAAACAGTATGAAAAAAACTTACCACCTTCTTGAAACTACAGAAAACTCTTGTGAATATGGTTGTGGAGGTTCCCAGATGGACTACTGCTAAAATGGAGGTAGAGTATGACAAACAGCTCATGTAGCTTACATACATAACACCTGATCGATATACTTGCCTTTGTCTTCCAGATAAACACCAAAGAAGCTCTGAACCCCATCAAACAAGATGTCAAGAAAGGAAAACTTAGATTTGTCAATAACTGCTTCCCTTATACTGGTTATATCTGGAATTATGGAGCACTTCCTCAGGTACAGACGTCCCTATTCTGTGGCATTCACAATGAGGATTATTCCTCCTTACTTCATTAATATCCATGCATATACAATTGTTTGATTGTAGGATGATCCTCTCAACATGTACTTTGATAATCCCTTTCTCAATTAAAAATATTATTTCAGCTGCCATCACATCCAAAGGAGATGACTATATACATAGTTTGCTATAATAGACAACACCTGTTATTTTAATCCAAGCTCACCAGTCATCCTGATGCATAGCAACAGCTTACTTTCAAAATGACACACATTACAATGTAAAGTAGTCTATTTCCCTCACCTGTCAATCAGCTAGATTGGCTTCTAGCATTGATTTTTTAGGGCATACGAGTCTATAATGCTGCAATTATTGCCTATTTCATGCAATCATCTAATACAAAGTTTTTTTTTACAGACATGGGAAAATCCAAGTCATAAAGATGAGTCAACTGGTGCCCTTGGTGATAACGATCCTATTGATGTTTGTGATATTAGTACCATGGTATGTCCTGTATTCACTACTTGGCTCATAGCACTGAATGCCATCTCTTGAGCACTATGAAACTGCATGCATGTTTTGGCAAAATGCATCATGGTGTTGATGGGAGTATCAAGATAATAAAAACTTTCTAAAAATTTCTTTGCAAATTAAATGCCATTGAAGATTAAGGTGACCCTTAGAAAAGTATTAAATAGGTTGATTATATATCAGAGTATACTAAGAGACCTATCTGGAAAGTAACTAATACTTATTGTTTCGATAACAGCCAGAAACACCAACACTTATTTTGACTTTAATCACAAAATTATCATGGTTCCAACGTTATCACAACTTCCTGTTTCATTAGTAAATTCTTGTTAATAATTCTTGTGGTTGTTTCTAGGTTGCACAGCGTGGTGAGGTAAAGCAGGTCAAAGTTCTAGGTGTTTTAGCTATGATAGATGAAGGAGAAACGGACTGGAAGGTCATGGCTATTGATGTCAAAGATCCTATGGCTAAAGATATGAATGGTACAGTGATTTACACACACTTTCTGACCCACATTTATGTGAACTCCAATGCTGTTTTTTGTTTGTTTTTTGTTGTTGTTTTTTCATTTCTCAATGAACTCCCTCCACACATTTCCAGCTCATTCATTTTTGAGGTTAAGAAGTCTTAAAAGTAGTTTGGTGAAGGAAGTTTGGAGTTGTATTTGACAACAGTATAATAACAAATGGTTACTAGCATTCAACAAATGGAGTTCACACATATGACAAAAAATTAAGTGTTTTCTCATGTGAAGCACTTCAAAAAGAAAATGTTAATTATATTACATTTGTGAGCAAATGTTTTCAAGTATAAAGACAAACAAAGACATAATGACAATTAGAAGCAACAAGTTTACATAAATTTGTATTCTTGTATTGCAGATATTGATGATGTGGAGAAACATATGCCAGGATTATTAGATGTAAGAAATATGCAATTGATGTGTTATTAATGGCATTAAATAATAACTGATGTTTATTGTATTTTTAGGCGACAGTAGATTGGTTTAAAATATACAAAGTTCCAACAGGAAAACCATTCAATGAATTTGCTTTCAATGGCACTTGTAAAAACAAGGTGAGTTGAAATTTGGTATAACTTTGTATCACTAACCAAACACTGCAACTGTTAATCCATTTTAAAAAGGGCTACTTGGATGAAAATTGCAAAACATCAGAAAAGACTTGGAAATCAAACAGACCTATCCATATGGGTCTAATAATCGTGAAGCAACAGATTTCAAGAAGATATTGACACAAATCCTTAAACATTTGGGCAAAAAATGACTTCATTTACTCCATCCTTTTGTTCTTCCAACAAATATTTTCCCGCAATTGTTTTTAATAGATATCAATGAGTCATATATTTGTATTGAAGTTTTGAAATAAGGCCATTTTCATGCAAGTAGCACTTTAACAAACCATCATTTGAAACCTTTGATCTATTTTTTACATGTGAAAGTAAATGTTGTGTTATAGTGAAAAGAAATCACTATCTACCTGTTGGTATACAATGAATGTGAAGTCTATTGTAAACTATTTCATGGCTACAGGAACATCATTATTTCATGTTAGGTATTTTTATTATACACTACAACACTTACTAATGAAATGTGATTTCGTGGTAGGAATTTGCTATGAAAGTTATCAATGAAACACATATCTTCTGGGAAGACTTGATATTAAACACCACAGAAAACAAGGGAGGATTGGCATGGTATGGATTATTTATTACTTTGTTAGAACAGGATAATCTAAATTTATGTATTTATTGATTGAGTAGGAGGGCAGTATAGGAAAATTGCTTTTGCACCACGATTTAAATGCTTAACTTTATTTCTTTCACAGTAAAACAGTAACAGTTGAAAAATCGCCATACAAAATATCACAGAAAGATGCAGACTCAATCATGAACAATGTAAGTACAAATTGATTGCTATTTTATAGTGATAATAATAAGTGTTAATAATTTGTTTTGTTTCTTTAAAGGCTGAACAACTTAAAGATGCTTTACCAATTGATGATGAGAGTAAGTTTGAAGGTTTTTTTAGCTTGAACAACGATAAAAAATCTAACATTTTGTTATGTTTTCTTGCAGCACGACGTTGGCACTTTGTGAAACGTTCATGACAATCAAACAAAAATTCCAACTGTTTTCACCACAAATTATAAAATACTACAGGTTTTTACAATTCTTGAAGCTTAGGTATTCCTGTATCAAACAAAACAAAAGTGAAACAATTTTTCTTGTAGACAGATAGGGTAAATAATGAAAGGATTTTCTTATCCCAGCTCAGGCAAAGCACAGGACTGAAGTAATGTTTAAAGGCCGACAATGAGGACTTGACGGGGTTTCAAAGTCCGYGCAATTAGTTCCAGTCCGAGGCGCTAGCCGACTTCAAAAACTCATTAATTATTCGGGAGGGAAAAAAAGCGAAGGAAATACATATAACAGAAATATATTGATTTATTGCATCTCCACTAAGGTTTTCAGTTTTCATAATTTTGAATGCATGAAGCACCGTTTGTTGTTCTTCAATTCCCGGACGGCTTTCTGAAACAAAAGCTATTCAAATTGTCTTTGTCTGCTATTCATGGCATTCCTAATGAGTCTAATCCATAAGATTTATAAGTATGTTATCTTCYGAGGAATCGCATCAGAAACWCGGTGGCGTAATGGTATAAGACGGCGCATATAGACTGGACGGTAGGGGATCGAGTCGTGAGGGAGTCATGTATCAAAGACCTTTTTTCACTAAATTAATGTTAAACTGATTATTTCTAATAATTTGATTATCATTAGCTAGTAGTAGTTGGAAACATGGTAGAAGTAACTGGAAATAAGGTAGAAGTAACTGGAAATAATGTAGAAGTAACTTGAAAAAGGTAGAAGTAACTGGAAATAAGGTAGAATACAAGGTACACGAGTACTTCCTCTGGTTTCAAGTTACTTCACGTGGTACAAATTACAAACAGGGATTGGCTGAATACCTCATGAATAATTAATGAGTTTTTGAAATACTATTAAACATTCATAACACCACTAAAAATGAATATACTTTGCACTGAATAATGTATAAGCATATTGTTTTTTATAGTGTTATGAAGCTCTAGTTCTGTTTTAGGAATGCGGTAGAATATGCTCAAACGTGGAATTTTCAGAAATTATTGTAGTTAATGCATATTTTAAATGCAACAAAAAGCTTTTTAAAATCATGAGCGTTTTGTCATTAAATGCAAACGCTAACAACAGTGTTATGTTGGTTTGTTCACTGCCAATGTTTATAGTCTTTAATGTGACCTTTGTTTTATTATTAGTAATAGCTATTAGTAGTAATTAGTAATAATCATTGTTAGGTCAACAACGACAGATTATCATAATGATCTGAATAAACAAGCTTCAGTCTACCTCTGTATGTGTTTGTTTTAATAAAATATTCTCAAATTTTACAAAATAAACTTTATACTGACGAAGATCCAATAAAAGGATGTTCATTAGCTTCTTATAATTCTATACACAATTCATAAATAGGAATTTTTATATCAAACAACCTCAAAATAGCCATTTCCAGTATGAAACTTTTTACAATTTTGAATTGGAAAATATAATTACTTTAGCATCAAAATGTTATTAGCAATAAGTTCACAAATGAGAATAATAATTTTAAAAAAGCACTTTTCAATGAAATATGATTTGATTACTTCATGGATGAAAAAATATCAAAGAATGGCAAGTCGTCCTCGTCACTATCAAAGTTGTCTGTGACAGTAAATACCTTTTTACCAAGTTCCTTCGTACCAGTTCCTGGACAAGCTTGCATAGAATTATCAGTTGTCAAATCAAAATTAGCACTTGTTGTTGACATACTTTTTGATGAACAATTCCAGGTAGCATCACTCTTGCATGGTCCAGGTTTTACAGTCTGACAACTGAATTCTTCACTGCAAATACCCAGAGAATTTTCCTCAGCTTGATAATATGATTGTTGCAAGTCTCCATTTCCAAATTGTGGGTTTGTTTGTGAGAAATTTGTGGTGGATTTTTCACAATGACCGAGTTGATCTATACCAGAAAATGTATCTACATCATTTGATTTGTTCTGATCATAATTCTTGTTGTCATTGAAAGTATTAGTGGGATTTTCAAAACCTCTCTATTGTCCAAATTCCTCACCTTTGCCAGAAAGTGTGTCAGGCTTTTTATAATTTTTCACTTCATCCATTTTTCTATTGTCTTTGCTGTCTTCAAGTGGTTTCCCAAGAATGAATTCTTCATTGAGACTATTAGTAAGCTGTTCATCTGATAGTACATCTACCATCTCATCCTGCATGATGTCCAATTCTCCATCATCACAATGAATAGTGTTCACTTTGCTGTCTTTAAACTCGTCACTGGATTCTATATTATCATGGCTTAGTTCTTTACCAGATGACTTACTTGATATCCCAGCATATTTTCCATTTTCTGAAGATTTTGACATGTGAATAAATTCTTCATCCAAACTCAGCTCTTCAGATTCATTACCGATAATAATTTCCTTCAATTCCTCATTATCATAGCCCTTTTCTTTACTTGGTGTTGGTTTACTCAAGTTAAAATCTTTACCTGGACCAGCACCATCATCAGACAACTCATCCATAATGATGACATCATTTACTTGCGTATCATCATCATCATTATTCTCTTCATTAATTGCTCTGGATTTACTCAAAGTAAAATCTTCTTCGTCACTAATAAGAAGACATTCATCTCTATCAACCAATCCACCATCATTTAAAGGTGAGTCATTGATTTCAGTGTAATCAACTACCAGTACAGGATCAGAGTTGTCAAAAACTGCTTGACTGACAGTTTCGCATTCTTCTTTCATTACCCTATTTTCATAAGTTTCTTTTGACATTAAAGATTTTGCCTGGTCACATGGTTTGGCTTTGTTGTCATGGGTACCTAAGGTGATAGCCAAGGTTTAGTCCAGGAATATTAGTCATAGTGATGATGATAGTGATGAATATTATGGTGATATTTGTGATGATGAAATTGACAACAATCTTAACAATAATTATCATATATTATCTATCATATTACCATTCTTATTGACTGTTGTACCATCCTGCCAGGATTGTTGAAAGTCACTTGCTGTAACAACACCTCCCTCTTGGCCTGTAAAAGCATGTACATTGATTTGTTCAGTGGATGATTGATTGACAGACTGACTGATTACTAATTACCTTTACAGTGTTGTATTACATTGCTCCACATTTTGTTGCTAGACAACATGCGCTGGTTCCCAACAATCAATAAATGTCTGGTAATGAATGGCATGACATTCATGAATGTGAATACACCATGGTGATGACATAATGTCAATAACTCTCACCTCTTTGCTCTTGTTAATGCCACATTAGTGCGTCTATCGAAAAAAGAATATGATCATGTTTCATGTTTTATCTTTTTACATAACTGTTTCTTTTAGAAACACCAACACATCTCACACTAGTTTTACCGCTAGTTCCCACCATTTTGAATATGATCATGCATTGTTTTATAGCAGAAATGGTGCTAAGCCATGTTTAACTACAATTTCCATCTATACCCGTTTTTCCTTCCTTTTCCCTTCCATTCTACTTCCCTCATTTCATCCATTTATTCAATGAGAATCATACCTGTCACAATCTATGAAGCCAACATGATCTGTCCTCACACATGACAAGAGTATGACATCCTTTTCTCCTCCTTGGAAAGCATCAACAGTGGATATCTGATTGGACGAACATCATAATCAACATGAAAACTAGATACTGTAGATAGAAATAACCCCAAACTAACCTGAACTGACTTAAGCTGCTTTAATGATGCTCTCCTGAAAGTAATAATTATGATCAGTAACTATGGAATGGTCATACACAGTCAAATATACTTACTCGCTTTGTGTGATGTAGGATGAGATTGTCCGCAGTTGGGATTTGTATAATGTAATAACACCTACAAAGCATAAAATACAAATTATATTTTATTAGAATAGTTCATTCCTGCAGTTCATCCAATAATATTTAGCCCGTTTGTTTATTTACCTATTTGTGCAGGCTCCAGTCCTGATTCCAGGAAACACTCAATCAAAAATACAATGAACTTTGCCTGGAAATTATGATGTTATTGATGGTCAGATATGATGGGATACAATGTGATATGAAAGAAAGATATTAAAAAAGAAAAGTGAATACTGAAGAGAAAAATAATGAGAAAAGGAAATGATATGGGATAAATAAAATCAAAACTAATATGAATGGGATAGAACGGGAGGTTAAAGGAAGGGATAAAAAGTGTACTAAAATAAGTGAAGGACTAGAGTGGCCAGGAAATACCAGCTAGTCAGGTACTCTACTTAACACCAACCTCTTCTTCATTGTAGTAACTGCCATCTTGTCCACACTTCTCTTTCCCTTTTGTCACATCATAAAAGCAAAGAGTTGGAGCAAACTCCTGGCAACATCACCAAAATGTTAAATAATTCAACCAAAATCACAGAAAATCTTCAAAATTAATAAAAATGTTTGAATGATGTCAATTCATCTAGAACTCACAACTAATGGGGCTCTATCCTCTTCTGAAACTCCATTTGTGAGACGACCACCATAGAAAAGTCTTTACAAAATGATTTAAAGAATTATTGCAAATTAAGACAGATAAAGTAAGTTCCAACTAAAATGCATCATTTTGAACACCATGTTGTTACCTGTTGGCCACAGCACTAATGACTGGATGACATCGATACTAAACCAACAAATAATGTTACTCAAGTAAAGTATCTTTGCATTTCAGATTCACATTCAATAGAATCTTACCTGAGTCCTGAGTAATGTTGTCTTACAACCCTTGACATGGAATATAAAGGAAACATAGATAGCATTAGTAATCACACTGATAGTGACTGGTTTACTACCTTAATCTTAAAGCCAGTTACTAACCATCTTAACAAGCCGGTCAAACATTGTTTGTTCAAGTCCAGCGTCATGGTCAGGTTGGGATCCCTGTATAGTTGGACTCAGTTGCTATTGATAAAAAAACATAGTTTGGAAATGGTACAATATGAGATTGGAAATGGTACAATATGAGATTGGAAATGGTACAATATGAGATTGGAAATGGTACAATATGAGATTGGAAATCCTGCAGTTAAGACTGGGAATGATTAAAAAACTATTATTTAAGCATCTTTCAGTGGCATATTGCAGATGTTGATAACAATAACATACCTTAGGATCACCAACAAGAACAAGCTTATGGCAGCCAAACCTGGCAAGAGGAAGAAGGGCTGCTGGTTCTGTCATCTGACTACATTCATCTAATAACAAAACCTAAAAGAAATAGATTAAACAGTAACCGTTGGTTTATATGGTAATAAATAAACCGACAAAGAAATGTGAGATCAAAATATCAATGTAGCTGGAGATAATAATAAGGGTTCTTGTATAGGTATACGTTTTCTACGATCATGGAGGATACAATACATATAGGTATACGTTTTTTACGATCATGGAGGATACAATAAAATAGATGATCACAATACAAAAATGTTGACAAAAACTATGCAACTTAATTAATGAATAATAAAAAATGCCCTTACATGGAACTTTGTCTTTTCCAGGCATGGAAATACACTTGCTGCACAGGTCACACCCACCACAGGAACCCCAGTTAGCCTCTGTGATTGAAACCAATCAAATAACATTTGTATGAACAGTCATCAATCAACTATTAACTCACAGTATTTATAAAATGATGACAATGATTTGATACCTGTTTGTTGCCACCTTTTCTTTGTTGTTCAATACTCTTTCTGATATGCCTAAGACCATAAAGTTCACAAAATGAATTAAAACAACATAAAAGATTATTTATACATCACTATATATTAATTTTAAATTTAGGAAGATTAACTAATTACATTTTTTCAGATGGTTTGATGTCTTCTTTCAACATGGCTTTTAATTCCTTGATCTCTTCTGAGCTGCTACCACTACCATGCATACTGAAGGGTAGAAGTTTCTTGGCAATCTTACGAACACTACCAACACGAACAAACTCTTCGAACCCAAGGTCTAGAAGCCTGTACAGCCAAAGAAAGAAAGAACAGCTGCATCACTTGAATGAATGAGTGAGGGAGGGAGGAAAGGAGAGAGGGAAGGGAATGAGAAAGGGAGGAGGTAACTAAGGTGGGAGGGAGAGAATGAGAAGTAGAGAGGAAAAGAGGGAGGGAGGGAGTATGT